AATAATCGGATGAATACCTGAAGAAGAATTCGTATAACTATTGAAATGAAGTAAAATAATAGTGAAAACCAAACACTTGTAGTCCATTGTGTGGACTCGTATTCAACACTAAACTAAATAATGGCTGACTTTATGTCAAGAAAATACAATTTTGGGACAAAAACAGTACATAAGAAGAGATCAAATGTATGGATATATTGCGCCACACATTGATTCACAACACAATTGGCAAACATTTGGCGCAAAATTGTGAATATATTTGGATTTTATGTGGGAATCATTGATAAATAAATCATTTGAATTTACTTGTTATCATTATGAATATAATCTTATAATGACATTTAAATTTAGAAATATTGCAAATAGTTTTGTTCGCTCGGGTTTAATAAAATTAAACTTAAATAAATATGATTACCATTTATTGAGAGCACAACCGATATATTGTCAGAACCGAAACCATTGCTCGCAAGACATGTATAGTTCGCGGAATCATTCCTCTGGATTTCATCGATAGAAAAAGTTGAATATTTCTTGAAGTTTTCGATCTTATAGTTGACATCCGGACCCGACCTGAGTGTCTGTCCGTTTCGGAACCACTCGTAAAACACGGGCAAAGATCCCGACTCTAAGTTACAGAATATCTGAAAGTAGGTTTCTATTGGTAGTGTCCGATGGGACACATGTTTGGCCAGTTTTGGCGCTGATTTCAATGCAAATACAGGTATTAAACAAATGAAATGTCAATTCAATAGATATAATACCTGACGATTGAGTGGAAGAAACATAAGTTAAAACAATTGTTATGTAAACTAACACAGAATTTAATTCAATTTTATGCAACATTTTTTGCTAGAACAAACAACTCATAGAAATGTTATATCAAAATAATGGCCGACTTTTATGTCAAATAATTTTCAGACAAAGTATTATATGAAACAAGAAGTGAAAGAAGATATCACTCGCGCCACACATTGATTCCCAATACAATTGTGGATATATTTTATGTGTTTATACAACACATGTAATCAATGAGAGAACTGTAAGGACAATACTTTTGAGAATCCTATGAAATATAATCTCAAAAATGCTTAAAATTTGAGATTTATTTTTGACAATAAATTTAGTAAAATATATGATTATTGTTACCATTAATTGAAAGAAAAGTCGACTGACTATCAGAACCAAAAGCGTTGCTCACAAGACATGTATAGTTCGCGGAATCACTTCTTGTGATCTCATCGATAGTAAGTGTGGAGAACTTCTTAGAGCTCTCTATCTTATAGTTCGCTTCGGGAATCGGCTTAAGTGTCCGACCATTTTGTGACCACTCGAAGAATACGGGATGAGATCCCGACTCTAACGTACAAAACACTTGGAAGTCAGTGCCTATCGATTGACTCTTATGTGAGAGATATTTGGATAATTTTGGCGCTGATTTGAATGCAAATATAGTTTACATTAATTTATCATCAAATCTAAATAAATTTAATTATTTTTATAATACCTGTAGATTGAGAGCAATAAACACATTTCACATAAATTAACAAACAAATGGATATTGTATTTAACACAGAGTTGGACAACATTTTGCAATCAACAACTCATTGAAAAATGCAACAAAATAATGGCCGACTATTTTGGCAAAGATTTTTGACTAAAGTATTGATAAATCTAATGTTAGAGAAGGATATATTGCGCCACACATTGATTCACAACACAATTGGTTGTAATATATTATATAATGTTTGACTCGTATATGGGATACATTGCCAAAGAATGAACTGTAAGAATACTGTCATTCACTATAAGTTTTCAATTTAGTTATGCATTAAATCTAATTCATAAGTACTTTTTAGAGTAATATAATTTAAATATAAATTTAATAATAAATATAATTAAAACAACCTTTAATTGAAAGCACAACCGATCGACTGTCGGATCCAATAGTATTTTTCACAACACAGGTATAGTTCGCGGAATCATTTCTATCAATCTTTTCAATAGTAAACGTGGAAAACATTTTTGAATTTTCAATCCTATAGTTGACGTCAGAACTGGACTTAATTTGGTGTCCATTTTGTGACCACTCAAAGAATACGGGAAGTGATCCCTCTTCTAGTGAACAACTTATATGAAATCCAGAGCCTATGGTTTGGCTCTTATGTGTTGACCCGGAATAACTCAATTTAGGGACTATTTTGAGATATAATAATATTTGTCAAAATATTTCTAAAACCAATTGATCCACACTTTACCTGAAGAGTCGTGTAAATAAATTTCATTTATAAATAGTGAACCGATAAATAAAAACAAATGATATTTTGAATGCATTTTTATCAAAATTGTACTAAAATTATGGATACAATGGCTGACATGGAGTAAGCAATTGATGGCAAACATAATATCTTAGAGAAAGTAATGTCGAATATAGTGACACATATTGTGTGTAATTCACAATTTGTTTAAGATTTTCAAATCAAATATAAAATATAGTTAAGAAAATAATATCAAAAATATTGAAACCAGCATTTGATACAATACAATGAGATCCCGTATAAGATATTTAATAAATTTAAATATTTAAAAACCAAATTAATGCTTACGATAGAAATTATTTACAAATAATTAAAACAATTTCTACCTTTAATTGTAAGAATAACTGATTGAACATCTGATCCAAAAGTATTCTTCACAAGACATGTATAATTTCCGGCATCTCTTCTCTCAATACTTTCAATAATAAAAGTTGAATGCATTTTGAAATTTTCAATCTTATAGTTAACTTCGGGGCCAGTTCTGAGTGTCTGTCCATTTCTGGACCACTCGAAGAATAATGGAAGAGATCCCGACTCTATTGAACACGTTATATGAAATACTGAGCCTTCAGTCAGTGTCTTATGGCTTACAATTGATCCTAATTTAGGAACTAATCAAGAGATTAATATATTTGCTATACTTTATAGCAATTATCCTATAATTACCTGAAGAAGCATTTGAAAAACGATATAAAAGTATCGAAATTAAAATAAAACACAAATAATCGAAACACATTATGAATTATATACAACACAACTCACTATCAATACAACAAATAATGGCTGACTTTAATGTCAGGAAAATATTGTATTTTCAGACAAAATAGTATTGAAAACAAGAAATGTTAGGATATATTGCGCCACACATTGATTCACAACACAATTTGTGATCTTATTTAACCCATAATATAATAGTACATTCTGTATGCCTAATGCAATACAAGTTTGCACTGTAAGGACTCATACAATACATAAACATTTTATATTACTATTGATATAAAGTATTAGTTATACTATTTTGGGTAACAATGAATAAATTTCAATCAAAATTTAAATATATTTAAAAACAACCTTTAATTGAAAGGACAACCGATCGACTGTCGGATCCAATAGTATTCTTCACAAGACATGTATAGTTCGCGGAATCACTTCTTGTGATCTCATCGATAGTAAGTGTTGACAATCTTTTTGAATTTTCAATCTTATAATTTAAGTCATGGTTTAACTTAATTGTCTGTCCATTTCTGGACCACTCGAAGAACACGGGAAGTGATCCCTCTTCTAGTGAGCACAACATTGAAAATCCTGAGCCTATGTTTTGACTCTTTTGTGTGGATCCGGAATAACTCAATTTGGGTGCTGTTTTAAATACAAGTTATAGCATCAGGATATTTATATCATTATTTAGTGGGTTATATACCTGATAACTTGGTTGAGTGAATGCTATTAATAAATATTAACAATGGGATTGAAAATAAATAGTATCTTGAATACATTTTCGCAATCAATACCACATATGAAAATACGACAAAATAATGGCTGACATGGAGTAAGCAATTGGTGGCAAACATAGTATCATAACTTAGGGAAAGTGATGTCGAATACAGTGACACATATTGTGTGTAATTCACAATTTGTTTAAGAATTTCAGATCAAATATAAAACAGAATTTAAGAAAAATATACAAAAACTCCAAAAACATTATATTTTCAATTCAATGACTACTAATATATTATATCTATTAAATTGATTAAATTTAATAACGGTTTAAAATCTAATAAATGTAGAAACCATTTATGGACAACGATTTAAACTATAAAATAGTTTTTACCTTTAATTGTGAGAACAACTGATTGAATGTCTGATCCAAACGTATTCTTCACAAGACATGTATAATTTCCGGCATCTCTTCTCTCAATACTTTTTATAGTAAATGTGGAAAACATGTCATTGTTTTCAATTTTATAGTTAACTTCGGAACTCGTTTTGAGTGTCTGTCCATTTCTGGACCACTCGAAGAATACGGGAAGTGATCCCTCTTCTAGTGAACAGCTTATATGAAATATTGATCCTTCAGATAGAGTCTTATGGTTAACAAAATATCCCAATTTTGGCACTAATTTGAAAACAATTATTTTGTATTACATTTTCTAAACAATTATCAAATGATTACCTGAAGAAAAACTCAAAAATCTAAATAGAAATAATGAAATGAAAATAAAACTACTCAAACAATTTGTATACATTTTGGATGACAACAGAAGTGTATGTTAACCAACAAATAATGGCCGACTTTTATGTCACAAATATTGTATTTTCAGACAAAACAGGAATAAAACCAATGTTTGAGAGGATATATTGCGCCACACATTGATTCACAACACAATTTGTAATATCAATAATATATTTGGCTCTGTATTTAACTTTATATATGAAGTTTGCGCTGTAAGGCAACTGTACCCAAAATACTGTTCTTAGGTAATTAGTATTTACAGTAAATTTAAAGTTATAATGACATAAACATACATAAAATATACTTAATTTAAATGAAAATTACTAATAAATAGTTAAATAACCTTTAATTGAAAGCACAACCGATCGACTGTCAGATCCAATAGTATTCCTCACAAGACATGTATAGTTCGCGGAATCACTTCTTGTGATCTCATCGATAGTAAGTGTAGAAAAACTTTTTGTGTTATCAATCCTATAATTGACGTCAGGACTCGACTTAATTGTCTGTCCATTTCTGGACCACTCGAAGAACACGGGAAGTGATCCCTCTTCTAATGAACAGCTTATATGAAATATAGACCCAATGGTTTGACTCTTTTGTGTGGATCCGGAATAACTCAATTTGGGAGCTGTTTTTGAATGTAAAATTTTAGTATCAATGTATTTATACTAATATTTAATTGTCAATTTGATACCTGATAATTTATTTGATTCAATTTGATTACTAAATATGAACATGATAGTTCCAAATATATAGTATTTTGAATACATTTTCACAAACAAACCACATATGAAAATACGATATAATAATGGCTGACATGGAGTAAGCAATTGATGGCAAACATAGTATCATATCTTAGGGAAAGTGATGTCGAATATAGTGACACATATTGTGTGTAATTCACAATTTGTCTAAGATTTTCAAATCATAGATGAAATAGAGATTTGGAATTACATATCAAAAAAGTCAAGAAATTGTATATTGAATGTAATGATAGCTCCTATGATGTTATGTATTTGTAAGATTAAATGAACTAGATATAATTTATACCGAACAATTACATCAAATTAAAATTATTCTATAGTTATTATATTTTGTAATATATGAAATATATGAAATATTTCTACCTTTAATTGTGAGAACAACTGATTGACTGTCAGTTCCCAATGAATTATTCACAAGACATGTATAATTTCCGGCATCTCTTCTCTCAATGTTCTCAATAGTAAACGTGGAAAACATTTTTGAATTTTCAATCTTATAGTTAACTTCGGGACCCGATTTGATTGACTGTCCATTTCTGGACCACTCGAAGAACACGGGAAGTGATCCCTTTTCTAATGAACAACTAATATGTAATATTGAGCCTTCAGTGAGAGTCTTATGGCTAACAAAAGACCCTAATTTCGGAACTAATTAAAGAATAAATAGTTTTAATTAAGTGTTAAAACAATTATCTTATGATTACCCGAAGAGGAACTCGAGATTCGACACAAAAGTATTAAAATGACAACAAAATACATACAATTGATATACATTTTGGATGACAACAAAAGTCTGTGTTAACCCACAAATAATGGCCGACTTTTATGTCAGAGATATTGCATTTTCAGACAAAATAGTATTGAATACAAGAAATGTATGGATATATTGCGCCACACATTGATTCACAACACAATTTGTGATATCAATAATATATTTGGCTCTGAATTCAACATTATTATGAAGTTTGCGCTGTAAGGCAACTGTACTGTACTCTCAATACATTTCGATAGTATGTACAGTACATTTATAAATATAATTACATAAATCTTTGTGCAATTTATGTAACATTTAGACTTAAAATACTAAATAATAGTTAAATAACCTTTAATTGAAAGGACAACCGATCGACTGTCAGATCCAATACTATTCCTCACAAGACATGTATAGTTCGCGGAATCACTTCTTTCGACACTCTTTATGGTAAAAGTGGTAAACATTTCAAAGATTTAAATTTTATAGTTAACGTCAGGACTCGGTTTGAGTGTCTGTCCATTTCTTGTCCACTCAAATGATAGCGGAAGAGATCCCTCTTCTATTGAACAATGTATTGAAAATACAGAGCCTATGGTTTGGCTCTTATGTGTTGACCCGGAATAACTCAATTTAGGGGCTGTTTTGGAGTAAAACATTAGTTTTTATTTCTCTCATAATTAATATAATCACAATTACCCGACAATTTGTGGGAATAAATAGGTTTCATAAGAAATACACATAAAATTGAAGCGAAATAATATTTTGAACACATTTTCGCAATCAAACCACATATGAAAATACGACAAAATAATGGCTGACATGGAGTAAGCAATTGATGGCAAACATAGTATCATATCTTAGGGAAAGTGATGTCGAATATAGTGACACATATTGTGTGTAATTCACAATTGGATTCAAACATTTAAATCAAGAAATTCCTACACATAAGCGAATGCAATGTTTGTTTCAAATGGTAATGAAATTTCAATACAGAATTCAATGAATATCTAATATATTCTCTTAAATTGATTTGGAGTCAAGAAGATTGGATAAATTGTAGATAATTTTCCATAAAAGTCATAATAAAAAACATTTCTACCTTTAATTGTGAGAACAACTGATTGAGTGTCAGACCCGAAGCCATTCTTTACAAGACATGTATAATTTCCGGCATCTCTTCTGTCAATCTTAGGGATCGTAAGAGTCGAGTGGCGCTCAAAGTTATCAATCTTTGTGTTGACGTCAGGACTGGACTTAATTTGTTGTCCATTTCGTGTCCACTCGAAGAATAAAGGGGCCGACCCTTCCTGTACTGAGCAAAACACCTGATAATATGAGCCCTCAGACTGTGTCTTATGGTTCACAGAATAACCCAATTTGGGTACTATTTATGGGATAAAAATTATATTCAAATTTGTGGACAATTATTGCAAAAGGATTTGAATGAATACCTGACGAAGAATTTGTATAACTATTTAGAAGTAAAATACAAACAAATAGTAATAAAATACAACACATTATAGGATATATCGAGACAAAAAAGCCAATCCAACAAATAATGGCTGACTTTTATGTGAATAAAATCATAGATTGAGACAAAACCGAGTCGTGAAAGACATGAAACGTATGGATATATTGCGCCACACATTGATTCACAACACAATTGGCAAACATTTGGCGCAAAATTGTGAATACGATTACAATTCAAAACTGTAACCAACTCTATGTCAAGACTTTAATATATAAATGCGATAAGATTTTAATTGTTTGTCACAAAAATTATTAATTGAAATAATATATGAAATACTTTGCATACATTTCTCATAATATATCTCAAAACTCTGTACCTCTTATGGATAGACTAACGCTCTGTCCGTCACTTCCGAACCCATTGTTCACAAGACATGAATAATTTCCGGCATCTCTTCTCTCAATGTTTTCAAACTTAAGGCTCGAATGGGTTTCGAAATTAACTATTTTATAATTAACGCCAGGATTTGGTTTAATTATCTGTCCATTCAGTGACCACTCGAAGAATACGGGAAGTGATCCCTCTTCTAGTGTACAGAAGAGTTGTATATTAGAGCCAATGGTTGTGCTCTTATGGGTTAAACCGGATTGACTTAATTTCGGTGCTATTTTTCAGAGTAAATTGTTTTCATTAATTATTTTGAATATTATATTTACAGTCATTTACCCGAAGACTTGTTTGAATAGACATTTCCAGCAATTGTTAAATATATTAAGAAATAAACACAAATTTTTAAACCCATTTTTCAATTATTGTGGAAATAAACGCAAAACAATGGCTGACATTATGTGAGGAATTGATGGCAAAGATCTTTGGGATAATGTCTACAACAGTGACACACATTGAACGTGATTCACAATTTACCACAACTTTTCATTTCAAATATCGCATATAAAATAAATACAATTTCAATACTCATTCGCAATAGAAATGCAATTGTATTGAATGCAAAATTTGTATTCTTTAAAATGTATTTTATAAAAATTTTATGAATAATAATAGTTGTAGTAAAAATATATTCATTCTTAAGTATTTTTCCTACCATGTATTGTAAGCAAAACGGATTGTCGATCACTTCCAACAGAATCCCTAACAATACACGTATAGTTCGCGGAATCGCTTCGAGAGATCTTTCTTATGGTAAACGTTGAGAACATTTCAAAGTTTTCAATCTTATAGTTGACGTCAGGACTGGACTTAACGGTCTGTCCATTGATAGCCCACTCAAAGAATAGGGGATGACTTCCCTCTTGTATGGCACACATCACCTGAAAAACTGAGCCCTCGTTTTGAGTTCTTGGACTCAATAGTGGCGTCAGTTTTAGGGCTAATGTCATGAAAGATATGGATTTGTAATATTTATATTGAATTGGGATCTAATGAACAATACCTGATAAATATCCGGGAATTATAATAAGAATTATAAGATTTATTTTTAATTCAATAAATAACCGGAATTTATATATTGAATACATTTTGACAACACTTTGTGATTATAATGAGAGTAATGGCCGACAAGAAGTGTATGAGATGTACAGAAAATAAGACAAACTATGGACTGATGTCTACAATAGTGCCACACATTGATTGCCATTCAATGCAGACATCATTTGGCGGTTTAGACATCACTTTTGAATTGTATTTAACATAAACTGTAAAAGCAGTTGCGATAATACATATATTTTATGAAAGTACTGATACCTTATTCATAACTTTATCAAATTCATTACTTGAAATATAAATATTAATATAATTACAAATAAAATGGAAGAATGTTTTTAATTCATACCATTAATTGATAGTAAAATAGATCTACTATTAGATCCAAATTCATTGCTAACAACACACGTATAGTTCCCGACATCAGACATATCAATGGATTTGATGGTAAAAGTCGAGTGACTCTCAAAGTTATCGATCTTATAATTAACATCAGGACTCGATTTGATTGTCTGTCCATTTTTAGACCACTCGAAGAACACTGGAAGTGATCCCTCCTCGACATTACAAGACATAAGAAATTTAGATCCAATCGTTTGGTTCTTATGGGTTAAACCAGAACTCAATTTTGGGGCTAAAATTTATACAAAATTCGTTGATATTTTAAATATAAGTTATTTAACATTTAATTTACCCGTCGATGTGTTGCAATGAATTTCATTTACAAATAGCAAACATATGAAAGATATTAAACAATATTTTGGACACATTTTTGCAATGAATTTATGATAAGAAATAAAGAGCAAAACAATGGCTGACAATAGAGCGAAGAATTGATGGCAAAGATCTTTGGGATAATGTCTACAACAGTGACACACTTTGAATGCGATTCACAATTTGCTACAACTTTTCATTTAAAATATTGTTTTTCACATAAAATAAATACAATTTCAATACACAATAGAAATGCATGTAAAATGGATTCAAAATTAACATTATTTAAAATGTATTTTATAATAAAAAATTATGAATAATAATAGTTTTAGTAAAAATATATTCATTCATAAGTCATTTTTCCTACCATTAATTGTAAGCAAAACGGTTTGTCTATCACTTCCAACAGAATCCCTAACAATACACGTATAGTTTGCGGAATCGCTTCTCACAATCTTCTCAATAGTAAACGTGGAAAACATTTTGTAATTTTCAATCTTATAGTTGACGTCAGGACTGGACTTAACGGTCTGTCCATTGATAGCCCACTCGAAGAAAACAGGAGGCGATCCCTCTTGTAATGAACAGGTCATCTGAAAAATGGATCCCTGTTTTTGATGTCGAGGACTCATTAGTGGAGTTAGTTTTAGGGCTGATATTATATGAAAATAATAATCATTACAATTAATATGTATTAAGCTTTACATCCATTGATAAATACCCGATAAATAGTTGTTAGATATAATTAAAATAAAATAAGAAACACATATTTTATAGAAGTCATGAGATCTACAATTGAAGTACATTTTGATAACACTTTGTGATTATAATGAAAGTAATGGCCGACAAAAAGTCTATGAGATCTGCAGAAAATAAGACAAACTATGGATTGATGTCTACAATAGTGCCACACATTGATTGCCATTCAATGCAGATATCATTTGGCGGTTTAGACATCACTTTTGAATTGTATTTCACATAAACTGTAAGACCATTTGTTTTACAACATATGGCTTATGAAAGTGTTTTGTTCTTAACTTTAATAAAGTAATTGTTAAAAAAAATAATCAATAAATAATTATATAACTTCTAAATAAAATACAAAATATGTTTAATTCATACCATTAATTGTTAGTAATATAGATCTACCATTAGATCCAAATTCATTGCTAACAACACACGTATAGTTCCCGACATCAGACATATCAATGGATTTGATGGTAAAAGTGGATAAACCCTCTGAGTTATCGATCTTATAATTAGCTTCAGATCTGGATTTGATTGTCTGTCCATTTTTAGACCACTCGAAGAATTGTGGATCAGATCCTTCTTCGACATTACATAACATCAAAAATTTTGAACCAATTTTTTGGTTCTTATGGGAAACTCCACTATAACTCAATTTCGGGGCTAATATTGAATAAACATATAATTAAAATATATTTGTTATAAATATTTTGAGTTGATTTACCCGTGGATTCGCAGATATAAATACAATTAAATATAATTAACACAAAACACAAAATATATGACATTTTAGATATTTTTAGAGATTATAAACATTAGATTTCATCAAAATATATTCAAGTAATACAAAACAATGGCTGACATTATGCGAGGAATTGATGGCAAAGATATAATATCTGTGAGAATATAATGTCTACAACAGTGACACACTTTGAATGAGATTCACTATTTGCCACAATATTCAAATAATACTGTCAGTATTTCGCAAATTTCTAACCATGTAGTTATATTAATATACTAAACAAATATTGTTTACAAGTTAATAAAATTATATGTTTTTTCATTTGTATACTAATTCTGTTATTAATTGCTATAAATTTAAATTTAATCCTTTCCTACCATTGATTGTAAGCAAAACGGATTGTCTATCACTTCCAACAGAATCCCTAACAATACACGTATAGTTTGCAGAATCGCTTCTCATTATCTTCTCGATAGTAAACGCGGAAAACATTTTGTAATTTTCCATCTTATAGTTGACATCAGGACTGGACTTAACGGTCTGTCCATTGATAGCCCACTCGAAGAATAGGGGAGGACTTCCCTCTTGTATCGTACATGTGATCTGGAAATACGAGCCCTCCGTTTGTTGTCTCGGATACAAAGGCGTTAATTGTAGGGCTGATTTCATATGGAAAACAACAATTCATTGAAATTAATTTGTATTAAACCTCTAACAGAGTTAATAATACCTGTCGTGTATTTATTTCTATTTATTACAATTAAGAACAGTATAATTATTTCACACAAATTATATGATCTATAATTGAAACACATTTTGACAACACTTTGTGATTATAATGAGAGTAATGGCCGACAAGAAGTCTATGAGATCTGCAGAAAATAAGACAAACTATGGATTGATGTCTACAATAGTGCCACACATTGATTGCCATTCAATGCAGATATCATTTGGCGGTTTAGACATCAGTTTTGAATGTACTTTACGTACAATTCAACACAAACTGTAAGATATTGTGCTATACATCAGCCACACATTACTTGACTTGATGTTAGCTAAACAACTTTTATAGACCAGGATTTATAAATTTTGTCATTATCATGGTTAACATTAAGTATTCAATTTAAAAGTACTGTATATTCAATAAAATATTTCAATTCATACCATTAATAGATAGTAAAGTACTTCTACTATTAGATCCAAATTCATTGCTAACAACACACGTATAGTTTCCGACATCTTTCATATCAATAGATTTGATGGTAAAAGTAGAAAACATTTCAAAATTTTCAATCTTATAGTTGACATCAGGACTCGATTTGATTGTCTGTCCATTTCTAGACCACTCGAAGAACACGGGAAGTGATCCCTCTTCTAGTGAACACGTTATGTGAAAGTTGGAGCCAATGGTCTGATTCTTAAGACTCACTCCATTATAACTTAATTTTGGAGCTGATTGTAAATGAAATTATACGATAAATTAACCATGGACATTATCTTACATATTTCATGATATACCTGATGTGTTTGCTGAATATATTTCACTGATAGTGATGTAAAATATCAGAACCTTATAATATTTAAAACACATTTTTACACAAAGATATTTAGTATAACAATGGCTGACATTATGTGAGGAATTGATGGCAAAGATATAATATCTGTGAGAATAGGTCTACAATAGTGACACACATTGAATGCCATTCACAATTTGTTTTGCAATATTGCACTATAATTATGTAAAATAAAAAATAGGTTTTAATAAATTTTGAATGACTTTTAAAATATATTTCGAAAAATCATGGTATTATTTTATATTTCTTATTACCATATATTTTATTAAATTAATTACTTTTAACTTAATATATATTTATGTAAATACCTGTTATGTAGAGAATCACTGTTTGTCTATCACTTCCAACAGAATCCCTAACAATACACGTATAGTTCGCGGAATCATTCCTCTGGATCTCATCGATAGTAAAAGTGGAAAATTTCTTATAGTTTTCAATCTTATAGTTAACGTCAGGACTGGATTTAATTTGCTGTCCATTGCGTGACCACTCGAAGAAGAGGGGAGGACTTCCCTCTTGTACTGAACAAGTAATCAAAAACATTGAGCCCACGGATTGAGTTCTTGGACTCAATTGTGGCGTCAGTTTTAGGGCTAATGTCATGAAAGATATGGATTTGAAATATTATATTGAATTGGGATCTAATGAACAATACCTGATAAATAGTCGGGAATTAGAATAAGAATTATTAAACTTATATTTAATTCAATAAATAACCGGAATTTATATATTGAATACATTTTGACAACACTTTGTGATTATAATGAGAGTAATGGCCGACAAGAAGTCTATGAGATCTGCAGAAAATAAGACACTTCTCTATGGATTGATGTCTACAATAGTGCCACACATTGATTGCCATTCAATGCAGATATCATTTGGCGGTTTAGACATCAGTTTGAATGTATTGTACATACAATTGAACACAAACTGTAAGACATTGTGCTATACATCAGCCATACATATAGTAACATAAATTGCTGATATTTATACAACTTGTAAAAACCATGATTTATAAATTTAGTTATTACCATAATAGATTTTAACAATTTAACATAATAAAATATCAATAAAATTTTCAATTCATACCATTAATTGATAGTAAAATAGATCTACTATTAGATCCAAATTCATTGCTAACAACACACGTATAGTTTCCAACATCAGACATATCAATGGATTTGACAATAAATGTTGAATAACTATCAGACGTATCTATTTTGTAGTTAACTTCAGATCTAGTTTTAAGTTTGTGTCCATTTTTAGACCACTCGAAGATCAAAGGAGGTGTCCCTTCCTCGACATTACAAGACATATGAAACTTAGATCCAATCGTTTGGTTCTTATGGCTTAAACCAGGACTTAATTTGGGCACTAATTTGAACAGAAATTGTAATCAATGGATATTATAATACTTTACAATAACATACCCAACAATTTGTTTGAATTGTTTTCATTAATTAATATTATAAATAAAAATAATAAGAAATAATTTTTAGAACACATTTTTACTATCACTCAATACAAGTGAATGTAATGAACAGCAAAACAATGGTTGACATTATGTGAAGAATTAATGGCAAAGATGTTTGGGATAATGTCTACAACAGTGACACACTTTGAATGCAATTCACAATTTACCACAACTTTTCATTAAATATAAAAATTTCAAACCTTTATATTAAAAACCTTATAAGAATTTTGGGTCCATTTAATTCAATTATGAATCAAGTTCAGTATTCAATTAATTGACAAATAAAAATACTTATTGCACAAAATTAAATTTTTAATTAAACAATAATTTATTATTTCCTACCATTAATCGTTAACAAAACCGTTTGTCTATCACTTCCAACAGAATCCCTAACAATACACGTATAGTTCGCGGAATCATTCCTCTGGATCTCATCGATAGTAAAAGTGGAAAACTTCTTATAATTTTCAATCTTATAGTTCACTTCTGGACCCGATTTAACGGTCTGTCCATTGATAGCCCACTCAAAGAAAACAGGAGGCGATCCCTCCTGTAGTGAACACGAGATATGAAATATTGAGCCCTCGCTCTGTACTCTTGGGCTTAATAACGGGGTTAATCTTATGGCTATATTAAGATATAAATTGTTAATTAGGATTCAATTATATTATTAATAGTACCTGATAAATATTGAAATAATAATATGTGTATAAAAACCACAAACACAATCAATTTAAACATACTTTTACTATTATGTTAAGATAAAGACCGACACAAACAATGGCTGACAATAAGTCACTGCACCTCAAGAATTGTTAGGAGATATAGACTACAATTTGATGTCTACAATAGTGCCACACATTGATTGCCATTCAATGCAGACATCATTTGGCGGTTTAGACATCACTTTTGAATACAATTTTTATGTCAACTGTAAGACACGTACGATATTTCGTATGCAATACAATACTCAAGAATAATATATAAGTTTGTATAATATTTATCATTAATAATTTAGTGCAATCTGATAAAAATTATTAAATAATATTAATATAGTATTTAAATAAAAATATTGTTAACCTTTGACCGTAAGAACAGCACTTTGGCTATCAGTTCCCAAAGCATTGGTCGCAATACAAGTATAATTTGCGGCGTTTTGTCTTTCAATCCTCGCAATAGTAAGCGTTGAATATCTATCGAAAGTTTCAATTTTATAGTCGACCTCATGTTTGGACTTAATTTGGTGTCCATTTCGTGACCACTCAAAGAATATTGGAAGTGATCCGCGACTTATTGAGCAAAATAGTTGAAAATACGAGCCTTCCGTCTCATCCCTCCCATACATGGGTACTATTTTAGGCGCTAATCATAAATATTCATTAAATATTAGGATAACTTATAAATTAATAAATTGTACCTGATGATTCTTTACATGAAACACTTATCAACACATTTAATAAAAGAAAAATTATATTAAAACAATGTATTGAATTCATATTTACAAACATTTGACACATAGTAAAGGCTTGAAAACTATGGCCGACGAGTGATATATCACTGATTGGACTCAATATAGCCTTATATTCGGACAACAATTGCGCCACACTTTGAATGCCATTCAAATTGGATATCATTAGATATTTTCAAATGTCTGTGCTTTATTTTAAAGCAAACTGTAAGCGTAGGCATATTGTTAAGGTGAAGTATTTCACCACGGATCTCTAAATTATTGATTTAAATATTCACATATAATACATACAAACTTTTCTTAATTAATAGTGGAGATAGTGAACTGAAATTATAGTCCCATTATTGATTTTAGAATAATGAAAGCCATTAAATATAAATTTATCATAATATATATTAATTGTAATGAGTTTTTACTAAATAAGATAAAAACAATATTGATCACTTTGAGAGTTATGTACATGGAATTGTATTTTTAATGCTATATAATGCTTTATATTACGGAAGCAAAATAAATTTATATATTTAAAAATACAATATGAAAAGTATGAAAAGTCATATTTGATCGATGGTTATAACTTATAATAATAAAATCAATCATTTTATTTTACACGTAGATATATTCTAACTTAATGTAATATTAATAGAAACTAAAATTTTAAGTTATATTCTTTAGTTAATGAGAGTTGGCTTAAAGTAAGAGTTTGCTCTAATGTGCAGTTTTAGACATTTTAAATAAAGTATAGATATTTAAATAATTATATTTTTACACAGTTTTCAAAGTATTTAACCAATACAATAGATATTAATCATATACCATGATTCATTTATTACTTAAATTAAAGTTTGTTAAAACAATATTAAATTCATACCATAATTATGGTGATATTAGCCAAGGTATCGGACGTATGGATACAATTAATAGACGATATTTAATGAGCATTTCCAATGATTGCGATGAATACACAACAGGTATGTGTTATTAATATAAATCGCAAAAGATTAAAAATAATTATTATATAGACTATAGAAGTCGGAAAAGATTAATATTGGTTTCATTGACGAGAATTGCCTGTTTGTTAACTGCTATAAGGTTTGGATTATGTGCCGCTATAGACGAGGTAATTATGTGTATATTTTTTACTTTTTAAAAGTGTATTATTATCTTATTTAAGGAATGGATACGGAACTTAATGTGTGATCCAGTTTATTTTATGGACCTTGATCATCATCAAATTTTTGATGCTATAGTAAGCGGTTTGTTTGGCACGTTTTTCTTTACCGGATGTCTTATCTCATACCAGGAATGGACCCATACTTTACACATATTAGAAATCGCTTCACATATAAAACATAATACAATTAAATATCCGCTAAATTCGTATAATTTGAAGCGTTTTACAAAAGCGGNTATAAAACATAATACAATTAAATATCCGCTAAATTCGTATAATTTGAAGCGTTTTACAAAAGCGGTTAACATTTGTACTAAATATGTAATAATGGGTACAATGAATATCGGCTTTGTATCCATTTTAGTGGTCATTATGGTAGTTGAAATTATGGCTTATATTAATCCTAGAGCAAATTTCTCAATTATTATATCATTGATACACGTGGTTGTAATAAAGTTTGCGATTTGGCATTGTTTCGGTGTTATTTGGATAGGGATTTCCATATGGTTTGGCTGTACTTATTATATAAAACTTAAATTCAATGAAGTTCACCAAAAGCTACAGTTTTATTATAGATTTTTCAATACCAATCATTATAGCTATGCTTTAGCACTGAATGCAATGAAAGAACACAACTATTTAGCAAAATTAACGGCAGATATGAATAATTTTTTTGGTTATTTAATATTTAAATTTTATTACTTGGATATACCGTTAACTCAATTGCAACTTTTATATGTATCGCATGAAAATATGTCGGTATCTCTTAAACTGCTGTTTGGTTTACCGGGATTTCTACTCATTATAACCTTATTTGGATTCAATATAATGAGCGCTTGGATCACAACCGCTGCCCATAAGCCGTGTTCACTATTTTACACACATATGATTCATAACCCGAAAGAACCGATCCGTTTGAGGCTTAAGACAATGGCAATGATTGAACACTTGTGCGGACCCGACATTGGTTTCTATTGCTATAATATGTTTCCAATGAATAATTACGAGTTTTATAAATTAGTATATATGGCTGGACTCAATATATTTCTTATTATAAAACTATTTTAACTAGACTAACTCCATTTATAATGTAGAATATAACACCCTTACAATTAAAGTTAATTATATAAATGTTTTCAAGTTACTTATTAAATACATGGACATTTGGACTGAATTTATATCAAAATATTGTTAATCTTTGATTTTGTAAATTTTAAAATTATAAAATCTAATTATTAATATTATACTAATAATAATATTATATAAATTATTTCATAATGTATTTTCAAAACATTTATTAAAATTTTGTCAAATTACTGTATATACACAATATTCTTTGTGATCAAATAGTGTACAAAATAAAAATAATGTAATATTACAATGAGCTAAAATATTGTACACTGCTGCCCAATAGTGTACACCTGATCACTCTAGGTACATAAGCAAGGTAAGTAAGTACCACTAACTTTAAATAAGTACAACACGTAAATGTAAATACTGCTGGCGTTAATGAAAATTGATCATCACTACATATATAATGATCAGTAAATACATGTAGAATAACATTACTCTTAAATGAAATGTTGCGAGTATGAAATTAGTCTCCAAGCTAAAAATGAAAATTCAATTTGATTATGTGTTTACAAATAATTAATTTTTAAAAATATTAATTAATTTACCAGAAATAACAATAAGAGATGATTAGCCATAAAAGCCAACAAATATTGTGAAAATTCCCAATTATTCATAAGAAACATATCATAACAATAGAAACCGATGTCTCGGGCAGAGAGTCTCTCAATAAATGTATGAATTTTTAATCGCTGGTCAATTGGTATAGACTTGTGTTTCAAAGCCGAGTATAGTATAGGCCGTGAATTGTTGGCCGATTTGGTAACCCATGTGCACATATAAGTGATGAGAAAAATTACTGTAAATGTCGAAATAAAGATAAAACCAAAATTAAATCGTGTTATATATTGAGTGTGTTTTGCAAATATAAGGAATAATAATAACTCAAATCCCGGAGTCGATAAGTAATAAATACCAAGTAAAGCAAATTTATTATATATATTTAAATTAACAGTCATTTTGGTTATAAAGTGTTTATAAAGGGCTCGTATAAGGAGTGAGCGGTGCGTAAACATTGAATGCATACCATGTTTAACAAATCGATGAATCTCATCATTGATTTCATTGTATTTATATTTAACATATAAGTTGGTCATTAAAACTAGAAACACACCATGTAACATAATTGCAAAACCTTGACAAAATAAAATTACTTCCAGAATAGAACCAAATTAAGTCCTGGTTTAAGCCATAAGAACCAAACGATTGGATCTAAGTTTCATATGTCTTGTAATGTCGAGGAAGGGACACCTCCTTTGATCTTCGAGTGGTCTAAAAATGGACACAAACTTAAGACTATATCTGAAGATAACTACAAAATAGATATCTCTGATAGTTATTCAACATTTATTGTCAAATCAATTGATTTAAAAGATGTCGGAAACTATACGTGTGTTGTTAGCAATGAATTTGGATCTAATGGTAGATCTATTTTACTATCAATTAATGGTATGAATTTTAATATTTTATTGATATATTATTATGTTAATCCGTTAAAATCTATCACGATAACAACTAAATTTATAAATCACGGTATTTACAAGTTGTATAAATATCAGTAGTTTGTTATATATGGCTGATGTATAGCACAATGTCTTACAGTTTGTGTTGAATTGTATGTACAATACATTCAAAAGTGATGTCTAAACCGCCAAATGATATCTGCATTGAATGGCAATCAATGTGTGGCACTATTGTAGACATCAATCCATAGAGAAGTGTCTTATTTTCTGCNGTGTGGCACTATTGTAGACATCAATCCATAGAGAAGTGTCTTATTTTCTGCAGATCTCATAGACTTCTTGTCGGCCATTACTCTCATTATAATCACAAAGTGTTGTCAAAATGTATTCAATATATAAATTCCGGTTATTTATTGAATTAAATATAAGGGGTTTCAAAATCTTTTGGCCGTCGGAATTTGGCGATTACTCGGGAACGGCTAAAGTGACACTAGTGTGACTTTACACATATATAAAACCATATCGGGAAAATTTTATAGCATAAATATTT